TTTTATGAAAATTGTCCTAGGTGTGGATCTAGGTCAGCAAACTTTTCTGTAAAGAGCCAAACAGTAAACATTTTAGGCTTTTGCCAGCTACACAGTCTCTGTTCCAAGTAATCAACCTTGTTGTTTTAGTGTGAAAGCAGCCACAGACAGCACCTAAGCGAACAAGTGTGGCTGCATTCCCACAAAACTTTACTTACGGGCCCTAAAATTTGAATTTCATGTAATTTTTACACGTCACAATTTTTTTCAAGCACTTAAAAATGTAAAAACAATTCTTAGCTCCCAGACAAAACAATAATCAGTCAGAGCAAGAGACAGGGCCACATTTGGTCTGTGAGCCACAGTCTGCTGATTCCTGATCGAGACTACCAAAACTGTGTCAATAAACAACTCTGCATTCCCCACCAGGCCTCCAGCAGTAAACATCTGTGGACTGATCCTGTTTATCTCTTTCCTTCTATTCTGGAGGACTACAGTGAGTCTTTGAAAAGGCACCTAATTAACATATCAAACAGGGTAGATTTAACTAGCTGTTCCAAGGGCACACACAAGAGCTTCAGCATGAATTAAGATTTTCTTTCTCAAAGAAAGGTATATACATATATACATATATGTATATGTATATACATATAAAGGTATATGTGTGGCAGGGAGACTTCTAGTAGCTTCTAGTAGCACAGGACATCCACTCACTGCAGCTTTTATAGTCTAAGACAATGGACAAAACCATAGTCCATAAGCACACACACACACAAAAAAGTGGGGAGGGGATGAACTTGAGATTGTACCTCTTTCAGAAGTCCTCTGTACGTGCCATCTCCTCACTGATACATCCCCCAGCAAAAAGAAAGAACAGTTAACAGCAGCAGCTTAAACACTCTTTGTTGGGGGAGGCAGACAGATAGCAAACACAGAACTACCAGCCCCAGTATTACAGCCACCACTCTGGTATTTTCAAGGAACCTCTTTGGCTAAACTTTTATTTTACCAGTTAGTCCGAAGCCAGCTTCTGTCTGTGGCTTAAAAAAATCCCCACAACCTCATCCATTGTTTCATTCCTAGAATGGCATACAATTCTGTCTTAAGGAGTGTTAAGACAGAGTTCAGATACTGTAAGTCCCCAAAAACTTCCAATGAAAAGAAAATTAACTTCAAATAGGTGTAGATGTTTCCCTGCGTTCAAAGAATCATATGGAAGTTGGGGTGGGATACAGCCCATACATTGGGCGACCATAATATACCAGGAAGCCAGTATCTTTTATGTATGTTAACTCTAACCCCTGACTAACTCATAAATAATCCCCCAAAATGATACAGTCTTATATAATTTCTACCTGCTATCCCACTATGTCTTGGAACCAAAGATATATGAAAGACTAACTTTATCAGGAGCCAAATAATCAACAATTTGGGAGAAAGAGGACCATCCAAGCTCAGAAGTTAAGACTTCAACGAGAAACGTGTCTCCAGGAATTTTGGTCCACTGATATCTTCCCTGGTCAGACCTGTGTTTGGTTGTATTTTTATATTTACTCTGTATGTGTAACAAGGCCATCAACAAGACTCTGAGCTAACTCTACACGTTGGGCAGAAGGAGCTCTCAAGGGCAGAATACTACCAGGCTGATATACAATCATCCTATTATTTAAAGGCTCCAGGGGCACCTGGGTGGTTCAGTCAGTTAGGCATCCAACTTTGGCTCGGGTCATGATCTTACATTTTGTGTGTTCAAGCCCCACATCAGGTTCTCTGCTGTCAGCATGGAGTCTGCTTTAGATCTTCTGTCCCCCTCTCTCTCTGCCCCTCCCCCATTTGCCCTTTCTCTTTCTCTCTCTCTAAAATAAACATTAAAAATAAAACAAAACCCCAAATTGAAATATTTTTTTTTTAACGTTTTATTTATTTATTTATTTTTTGAGACAGAGACAGAGCATGAACAGGGGAGGGGTCAGAGAGAGAGGAAGACACAGAATCGGAAGCAGGCTCCAGGCTCCGAGCCATCAGCCCAGAGCCCGACGCAGGGCTCGAACTCACGGACCGTGAGATCATGACCTGGGCTGAAGTCGGACACTTAACCGACTGAGCCACCCAGGCGCCCCCCAAATTGAAAGATTTCTTAATATGTGGTGGTAGTCTCCTAGATTGTACACCCTACCCCATTACCCCATCAAATACATGGTCTCCAATCATGATCTACTCCACACAGCTTTCCTGGTCCATGACTCTCTAAAAAGAAATCTTTCAAAAGAAGAGAGAAAAAGAATGTGAGCTAGAAGTTACCAAAACATGTAAAAAAAGAGTCAGTGGCACAGGAAGGACCAAACAATAGGTTCTCTATGGCTCTGGGGGGTCTGAGCCATAGGAGCCTCTATGCAATTAGCAAAGAATATGTCAAGATGAATCAGACTAGGAGCTGACAGAATGGTGAGGAAGGGAGCTGCCCAAGCTGAGGGACATTTAAAGAGACTTTCAAATCGCTACTTATGGGTCTCGTGAGCATTACTTAAATTTGATGGGAAAACTTCAAAATAGTTCTTTCCAGCTTTCAAATCTCTCTTCTGATCTGCCAATCTTGACAGAAGAAAAAGGAAGCTTTGAAGAACAAGTGCATCTTCCGTGTGCAAAGCTAAGCGCCACATGTGAGCTCTCCAATGTATAAACCTGCCTGTTCCCATGCGGTCTCTGCCTAAAACAATGGTGAAAAGCAACCCAGGGTGGAAAAAAAAGCAGGGAGGGAGGCTACCCAGGGTGTGTTGAGAGTATGGCTGAATTCTCAGCAGGGGAAACGCATTAGACAACTCCCAAGTCAAAGCAAAATCAAACCACAAAAGTAATAATAATTATTATTATCAGTGAACCAATAATTCCAGCTCCATCATGAAGTCTTTCACAAAGAACCTGACTTCCCAAGCAACCTGTAAGGAAGTTATGAAGCAATAAAATACAGTAACCGTTAGGAGAAAAAAGTCATAATCAAGTCAAAAACTAGTTAACAGGATAACCTGGCTCTACTGAAGGATGACACTGGCAGACACTGGAAAAGAGAAAGCATGGAAGAACAACATCCATGCTAGAGTCCCTTCTCCAGACAACAGTTAAGTAGCCTTTTTTTTTTTTTCAATGTTTATTTGTTTATTTTGAGATAGAGAGCACAAGTGGGGGAGGGCAGACAGACAGAGAGCATCCGAACCGGGCTCCCAGTTCCGAACTTTCAGTGCAGAAGCCATCACGGGCTTCAATCTCACAAACTGTGAGATCATGACCTGAGCTGAAATCAACAGTCGGATGATTAACCAACTGAGCCACCTAGGCGCCTCATGTCTTTTTAAAAGGATGTCAAAACATGATCTCTCTGCTCAAAGCGCTCTGTTATGGGTTAAATTGCATCCCTCAAAAAGATATGTTGAAGCCCTAACTCTCCATACCTGTGAATGTGACCTTATTTGGAAATAGTACCTTTGCAGATGTAATCAAGTTAAGATGTGGTCATACTGGATTAGGAGGGTCCCTATATCTAATCACCGGTGTCCTTAAAGGAATGTCATGTGAAGGCACAGAGATACACAGGAAGAAGATGGCCTTGTAATGAAGGAGACAGAGACTGGAGTTATCCTGCCACAAGCCAAGGAACACCGTGAAGTATCAGCCACCACCAGAAGCTAGAGGAGACAAGAAAGGATTTTTCCCTAGAACCTTAGGAAGGAACATGGCTCTGTGGCTCTGCTGATACCTCGATTTCGGACTTCTAGCCTCCAAATCTGTGAGAGAATATATTTCTGTTGTTTTAACCCACCCAGTTTGTGGGTTTCTACTTTGTCAAGGCAGCCCTGGGGCGATAACACACCCTCCAATGGCTTCCTATCTTACTCAGAAAGAAAATCCAAGCATCATTACAAAGTGTTCCAGACTTTCCTTTATCTAACTTCAGCTCCTACTGTTCCCTTCCTAGTCACCACTCCATCCACACTGGCTTCTTCATTGGTCCTCAAAACCCTCCCACCATGGGGCCTCACCCCATCTCAGGCTGGTCCTGTTTCAGGCCTTTGCAGATGCCATTCCCTTTGCTGGAAAGGTTCTCTCCCCAAGAATCTGCAAGGCTGTTCCCTCAATCTTCTTTCAGGGCTCTGCTCAAGTTCCCTTATTGGCAAGGCTCGGCCTAATTACCCTTTGGCATCTCTTATCCCTACCCCATGCACCCTATACCTCCTTCCCCTGCTTTATTTTTTTCCATAATACTTAAGACAAGCTGACATGTGTTATCTTGCTTAACCTTTAAAAGATCCATTTCCCTCCATAACGTTAGCTCAGTGAGAGCAAGACTTTTTCACTGCTGAATCACAGCGCACTCTATTGAACAGATAAACAGACTCTACCAGGACAGGTGAAATTTTACTCAAAACTGGCTGTGTGACAAAAAAGGTTTCTACTAATTAAATGGATCAGAAGCTTTTGTAGTTGAAGGGCAGGCTCAAGGTTGAGCTCTGAGGGGCTAGGAGACCATCTCTGTGCCAGGTTTCCTTAGGTAGACTGAGAGGCTCACCATTCCTATACAGATGAAGGAGAAGTGAACAATTTTGAAACAGCTTAAGATTCCTTCTTATCTAAAAAGGTCCACTCTTACATATAATTTTTGTCTCCAGCCACACACACCCCTGAAGAAAGTGACTTAGCCTGAGAAACATCTGAAGCCAAATCTAAACATACCTTCACCTCTGCATTACTACACACATTTTTGGTTTTTAGGGGCTTAGGGTGAAGGGCCCAGCAGGAATGTTTGATAATGATAATCTCAAACTGCAAATGTACAAACCACTTGGGAAGAAAACCATATTCCTGAAACAAACAAAAATATTTCAAATAAGCCAGGAGCCTTAAAACAGCTCTTTCTTAGTAAGTAGTCCATCAAAAGCTTTTTAAATGGTCCTAAGTTAACACTCTTCCTTCCCTCATTTACATTCTCAAAACTTTAAAACAAGAGGCAGAAAATGAACTTCCTTTACCTTGGGTTTTGGCCCCCGGTGCTGCCAATCCTAATGATGAATCACAGGATTCCTTGAGAGGTGATCTGATTGGTGTTTCAGCTTCAGGGGTCTCAAAATTACCTTCTGAATCCGAGCTGCCAAGGGGGAAAAATGAGGAATTACCACTTTCAACGGTATTTCCGACACCCTTTACAACCTACATATCCGAAAAGGCTAAAGTCCAGCATTTTTGCCTAACTTTACAACCCACTAGTCCTCAGCAAGGACTGGCCTGTGGGAGCTGCTGCGGGTTTTCTCGCAGGGCCCTCCTCCACCTTCTGTCTGGCATCCTGTCTCCCTGAATATCTCCTCCATCCTCCGGAGCTCTTCGCATCACCATTTATTTCTGAGGTCATCCTTTCTTCTGACATCCCCCCAAAAGCGCTTTCCAACAGACTCCTTTTCTAACAAGAATCCTTTCTCATAGGTTTAAAAATTAAGACTGCCCTCTCCCCCTAAAATTAAGCCAGCTCTCGCCATGATGCCTTTTTCTTTGGCAGGCCTCTACCTGTTTGGAACTCACTCGGCCTGAGGCTGAGAATGCTGTCACCTGCCTTCCTCAATCACTCGGTGGCAGCTCAGCAAAGACCACCATTTCTCACCAGCTGCCAGGGGCCTGTCATCACGCGACCTTCTTTACCAAGGCTGCATTTTCGGGCCACAAGGGGACACCAGGAGGGCCTGGGAGCGACTTCTTCTCCACAGGGAGGGCCCCAAGTTCTACCGGTGTGATCAATGACACTCTTGTGTGTAGGGGCGGGGGCTGGGGGATCGAAGCTTAGAGAAAGTGACTGAAGCAGACCGGGATGCGGGAAGACTGCAGATTCCGGGTTAGGTTCTGAAAGCTCATACGGAAACGGAGGAAAGGTAATACCGGACAAAACATCCTGAACTTTCGAATGCACAGCGGGGACCCGGTTACGGGCAGGGACGCAGCATTGCCATGATAATGGTTACGCGGGTGAGCGACCACACACAACGCACACAGAATGAGCCGCAGATGGATGGATGGCAGCACGTCTGCATCTCGGCAGGGATGCGTGTACTTGCCTGAAACTCAAGGATTTGGTCTCGGCTTGCGAGTCCTCCTCCTCGGGATCGCCCTCGGGCCCTCCGGCCTCGTCCTCTCCGGCGCCCCCGCCGCGCACCGCGGACCAGGTCCATTTCGCCCACTGCACTGGGGACAGGATCTGCCAAGGGCTGAACGCCATGAGCGCGGCTCCTCCGGCTCCAGCTCCTACGAGTAGGGGAAGGGGGAGAGCCTTTTTTCCCTTTCAAAATGGAGGGAACGGGTGACAGGCGCCTGTAAGCGTTTCCAGCGGAGGCGCGGATGTGGTTAAACGAGCGCCGTCGGGGGCCCGGGTGGAGCGCTTCCTCTCGGCCGGCAGTCAGCGCCGCTTCCTCCTCGTCCTCCTTCCCCAACGGTGCGGTCGCGGCCACCCCCGCGCCGGGCGACTCCCGCCGGGAAGATGCCTCTCCTGGGGCCTCCTCAGGGCCCCGGCCCGCGGCGCCGGGTGACTCGGGTCTTGGGGTCTCGGGCTCCCGCCTCCCGGCCGGCGGGGCGCGCATCAGCTGCCGCGGGAGCCGCGCCCCAGGAGCCGCCCCCTTGGACCGTACTATTCGCGCGCGCGGGCGGGGGCGAAGGCGGCGCCGGGGCTTTGAAGTCCGCGGCGCGCCCGCCCGATCCCCCCGCCGCGGCGCCGTGCTGGTAGCGCCCGGACTGCGGGCAGGGGGCTGCCCCGCTGCGACTCCGGCGGGCAGAACACCCAGGCGCCCCCAACAGCTCAGCGAGCGGCGGGAGCTGGGAAGATCCATTTCCTGGGTCCGTGCACGCTGGGCTTTTCCTCTTTCCCTTATTTTTTCATCTTGCTACTGTGACTTAATGGCGTTGTGACATTAGATCGCATAGAAGTGAAGCCCCTTATTAAAAAAAAAAAAAACAAAAAAACTTTGAGGCCGCAGTTGCCTGTTCTTTTTACCCCTCCCTGACATTGACAGCGTGGAAGATTTCGGCCTATTCACCTCCGACTCTACCACTCCCAGGATTTGGAAATTCCTCAGCAATGCTACAAGAGGAGCCAAGGACTGGAATTGTAGATGCTTTGTCCCTCCCCAAACCGCACTCCTGGACGCTCTGGGGCCAGGTCTTTGGTAAAGGGTGCTAAATTACCCCTGTGAAATTACAGCCTGATCGGCTTCCCATTCTCCTTTTTGAGGCTTTCTCTTCATAACTTCGTCTAAATCTTTGATTTCTGACTTCGTTTACTGCTTCAGAAGTATGCCAACAGGCCTGGTGAAGGCAGCCTTCAAAATAAAAACCCTCTTTATGTTTGAAAGCAGAAGGAAATAGAAGAGCTCTCCTCGGATTTTCTTCATTTTCCGTTTAGGGATTGCTCGCCTCAGAATCTCCAATGCACCAAGGAAGCTGGCAGACACAAACCACAAACACCAGGTTTCATGGTCTCCTTGCCTGTATAAGGCATTTCTTGTATTATTGTAATTTCCCAGAGTCGCCGTGAATCTGTGAGGTGGTTGCAGGTTCTCACAGAGAGAGCAGCTTCAGAGTTTAGGAACAAAGTCATGCTGAAACTGCAAGAGACAGTCTCCCCTAAAAGGGGAGTCATGCTGAGGAGTCATGACTGTCTTACACATTTGATAACAAAAACAAAAGCAAATATACTGTAAGATAAGGCAGGGTAGTTATCTTACCATAAGATAACTTAGTCTTACCATAACAGAAAGGCAGAGGTTTGCCTGAAGTCTAGATAAAAGGATTAGGGTGTCAGGATGCTTTAGAATTCATCCAGCTCCTTTCCAGAGAGAAACACAACTGTCAGGATTGTTCTGGAGACTACAAGGATGGGGAGTAAGCAGGAGTCTTTTTTTTTTTTTTTTTTTTTTTTTTTTTTTTTTTTTTAAGTCATGAAATATACCCCAACATTATCCAGTTCTTTGTATTTTTAGGTTTATGGCTCATCATATAAACCTTCAGGTTATAAACTCCCCCAGGTTCCTGGATTTGACCCGTGTTTTGTTGCCTGGAAATAATATTACCAACCCCCCCCCCCCTTGTAAATTAGTAACTGGCACCTATGTCTTCTTACATCCTGTTCATTCTTTCTCCTGGGTAGTTCTCAAATCTTCATTCTTCTGCATCCCCACTGTCACTGACATACTTCCCAAACTGTCTGTTTCTTACAGCTCCACTGCAAATGTCTTCCAACTAGTTCTACCTCAGGGTTTTCCCACCTGAGGGCATCCCACCTGGTTGATAGGTGACTTGTGCTATAGTCTTGCAGTTCCTGTTCCTCATTACTCCCAGCCCTTTGTATTCCTAAGCCATAATCAGTAGAGAATTGGTTCTGAACTTTCAGTATGTCCCAGAATCATCTGGGGTGCTTCTTTAAAAATACTAACTCAAATCACCACCAGGGCCTGGAAATCTGAATTTTTACCAAGTATCTTGCGGAATTTTTTTTCACAGGATAAATTTGGGAAACAATGATGAGCTTGGACTAATTGCTGCTGCTGGAACTATTTCTCTTTTTCCTGTAGAGTTCTGCACATTCCCACCCTCTTACCCCCACACCTCGAGCTCCCAGACCTTGACTTCCCAAACTTCCTTCAATACCCAACTCAAGTGTTTAGTCTGAGAAAGCAGGCTGATTTCTCCTGTTTCTACCATCTCTATACCCCAACCTCTCAAAGAAACTTTTACTGTGGCCCTTAGATGGTTTCGAAAGGGGACACTATTAATAGTTACACCAGACAGCAAGCACAAACCAGGATGTCCCCAGGATGTAAGGTCACCCTACACTTAGCATATGATATATAATGTATTTGTTTACCTATCTGTCCCACTTCTAGACCATAAGCTTCTAAATGGCAGGGACCACATCATATTTGTGATTTATTTTTGTTTCTCCAGAGATTAGGACAGGGCCATACACTCAATAGGTGTTCAGTAAATAAACAGAAAAGGGATATTGTAGTTTATAGATAGATCTTATGAGTTTGAGTAGGATGACATAAATTCTAAAAGCCTGACTCCTCCTGGGGAAATCAAGTTTTGGAACCAGCACAGAATGGAACTTGGAGCAAGTAATGACCCCAGTAAGATAAAGCCCAACCTACACAGCCATTTCTTGAAATTGGAGAAGCAAATGCCTAGTTTTCTGAACATCACTCTACTGCAAGCTCCTAGACTTGATGTGAACAGTGATAAAGGAAGTAATTACTCAATAACTTGAACTTACTTTATTGTCTAGAAGTTCAAGTAATGAGGCTAACTGACATATCAATTTTCCTGTAATTCTGGGAAAGAATGGGCAATGTTTGAAAACAAGATATCCCAACCAAGGTAAGCCATTTTGCTGCTATCCTCAGCTTCAGAGAGCAGAATGTCTGCAAATACATGACCAAGTAACCTAATGCAATGGATTTGTCTTGGAAACAACCGAAACCACAGAAAGAAACCCATCTGTTCCTTCCTCTCTTCTTGCCCTTCACTGAAGCTTTAGATCAATAGGCCATGAAAATCTAAAATGTAACTTCCTTGAAACACTCCACAATTGTGGTGTGGCCAAGCCAGGCACATCCCTTGCCTGTAATGGATGCTCCAGAGGGATCTGCAAGATGGGTCTCTTCGTTTAAAAAAATAATAAAATGTATGGGTGAGCAAACTCAAACAGGCAAACAACTAATCATTTCATAGCATTTCACAGCAGAGCTATTCTGGGAAAGCCTGGCATGGGGCAGGAGGTGGGGGCAGATGTAGTTGGGGCCTAAAGGAATTGGTATGGATCCTGTATACCTCATAAAGCGTTGATCTCAACTCAAGTACTCAAGTTGAACTTGATCCTGTAGCGGGCGACGGGGTGGGGAGGTGTCAAACACCAGAACCTCCCTAGGTAACATAAGGGAGTGACAAGGCCAGAGTGGCAGCTGTGTCATCTGGAGAACACTGCTGTGGCTAAGGGGCAGCGCTACCAAGTTCCTGGTGCCCAGCATTGCCATCTACCAGTCTTTTGAGAAAAACCCAAACCATGGGTTTTATAACCCATCTTCCGATCTTTAATGTTCTTACTAATTTAAATCATTTTGAACCTTGTGAAGGCCAACATGGTGCTGGACAAAAACAAAGCCATCTGTGTGTCCGGGTAGCCCCCGAGCCTGGATGGGCAGAGGGGAGTCATCAGGCTTTGAGCAAGTAAATAACATTTCCATTTAGATCATTTAGATCATTCTGGTAACAACCTGGGGGATGGAAGGGAAGTAGTGAAGACTGGGACCCAATTTCCCTGCCCCAAACTACCTAGAGAAAGTGGACAGCCTCTCCCCTAGAGGGTAAAGAAGCAGAACTGAAATTCACGTCCTTAGCTGTCACTGCACTTGTTCAGGAAGCATCAGAGTTGTAAGCAGCTCAAGCATGATGTGAACACTTTGACAGTGGAAGGACCAGAAAACCACTGCTAAGGAAACCGAGTTTGTGCCAGCCAGTGAAATGAAAAAGCATCGGTTATGAAATGATGTGGAGGGAGTGGAGGAGGCAAGGCAGGAGGACCAGGATGGCACAAGGGAATTAGGGATGAAGTAGGCAGAGAGAAAACCAAAAGGTCAGGCAGGCAGACAAACCCGTCAACATATCTGTATTTTCTCACAATTTAGGAATCTGGTGAGCGAGAGACACATCCCATGCAACTAAGATTAGATGCCAGATTGATGATGTAACCAAAGTGGCTGGGCAGCTCTGAAGCACTTAGAAAAAGCACCGGCCTGGGTGAAACTGAAATGGCAAATAGCAGCTAGGCTGACATGCCTCAGTGGAACCTCCATAGACTGTCTCCCACTCCCCAGCCCTGCTTTTTGAGAGCTGTTTGCTGGATGAGGTTCCAAGACGTGGCAGGGAATTCCCCTGCACGTGGTTGCCCCACCAACCTGATCACTGAATGTTCTCACCTCACTCACCAAGCTAAACATCCTCAGGAGGTCTCTAAGATGTAATGGTTTAACAGTACCCTAGATCAATCTGATCCCTGTAATCCTTCTCTCCAGTAGCGGGGCAGGTTTTCTTATTCTCAGTTTGCAGATGACGTAACTGAAGCAGAAAAGGCAACCACCTGCCTGAAGTCATACAGCTAATTGGTGCCAGAAGTGAATCTAGAACACCAGTCTCCTGTCAGTACTCTTGGTGCTGTATCAGACTGGAAGAAAGCAGAATGTCTTCGCAGCCACGAGGTAGCTGGCCATTCCGTAATCTAGACACTCCTCTCGATATACTGCAGGTGCAGTCCCTGCT